GGTTTCCCTTGGTGTAGCCTAACCTCTGACAGCTGGCAACAGCTCACTCATTGGTTCACTGCAGTTAGAAAATCTTACAATATACCAAAATGTTGTTTTTCAGATTCAAACAATATTGTAAATACTGTATAGTTAACAGTGCCAAGAAAAAAGCAACACATCAACAGCATCAGTCTTCAAACATAAAAACCAAATGAGTGTACAGGGTATCATGGGATTTTGCAACACACTTTCCTTTATTTAAAAAATAGTAGGATTTAAAGAATGAAATGTAGTGCACCACCTAATATATATATATGTATATATATATATATATATTCAGTGATTTTACATGTAGCAGAAAAACTCCACAGGACAAAGCTGACAGGTAGCAGATAATACTGCCGTTTGCCACGCCACTACTTCAAACACACTATTCAAGAGCATACATTTCAGAACAGCTCAGATAGTCAGCTTTAGTGGTGGGGGATTAGGGATGAGGTTATAGAAATATGTCAAAGGTGGTAGATATAGAAATGAGCTGCTTCCTTTCAAATTCCCTCATAGCCAAAAAAAAAACCAATAACCATTCTTCCCTTTCCGTCTCTAGTCTGTGGCAGTGTTTCAATGTGAAGAGAGTAAATACTTAATGCTCATTCCAAATCCATGGATGAAATGTATCTCTCACTACCAGCTGCAATACTGTAAAAATATGAATACAGTACTAACCCCCAAAAACATATTAACATTTAATTTAATTTACACTGCTCCTGAATTAAAAAGTACAAATGAAAACAAACGATCAAAGGAATAAAATATGAATAAAATAACAATTAATGGGTAGGAAATGAGTTAACGCCCATACAGCTGAGAAAATGACTTCCAAAAATATACAGTCAGAGAGGTGTTAGTTGGTAACCTCCTGCTATCATTTAGAATTTCAATCAATATCAGATGATGCCAATGGGCATTAGGTTCATGAGTTCCTTCCTATTGCAGAGGTGCAACTGCAACAGTTTATCAGTTGTGAAATTAGATAATTTACACCCAGGACTAGGATAAGCGTAATGCAGTAAAAGGAATTATGTTGCTCAGTAATGTCATCTGAGATTTTACACATTCCACAGGGCAGACATTTACAAAAGCGGTACAGGCATGGTTAAAAAGACATACCACAGATAATAGAATAGCACTCCTAATTTACAAGGTCTTCGTATAGAGAAACAAAACAGTGTGCAGTATGTCTTTTACCTCCTGCTCTGACTGCATGTTCCTCCCTCAAAACGGGACTTGAATAAATGCCTGCGGAAAAGTTAAGACAGGAAGGCGGTTAAGTTTCGCCTTGAACAGGAAAGTAACGTTAAATAATTTTTTATCTTCAACTCTCCCGTCTATAATCCCGAGGATAAAATACAAATGAAGTCATGTTCTCCTGATGACTGACAGTGAGCTGATGACTGACAAAGCCAAGTAGAACATAGTAAAACAGCATACTGTATAAAAACAAGAGACAAAAACTATTTGTGTTAAAGTAAGGCCTTCTTCTACTGCACCCCTACGAACATGAACAAACAACAATTGTTAAAACACTGAGAAACCAATTGACGATGGGAGAATGCGAGAGAAGCAAAGACATGAATGAATTCCTTCAGAAGAACAGAAACATTTCTGAATAGTTGAACACTGACATTTCAAAGAGGGCAGTGACAGTTACACGTTACATGAATGACAACGGAAAAACAGTTTGGGATTTTGAGATGATTCTTGAACCAAGTCTGACATATAAACTGTGTGAAGCCAGTTTGTCTTCAGGATTTTAAAATACATATCTATCTTCATGCTGAAGAGGCTATTCTGCATTTCATTCAACATAAAACCATTCCACCCCAAATCACTTCACACAATGTGTCAATGTCAGACTTTTACAATACAATAATGATCACAGATATGATCAGTTGAATCTATGATGTTAGATGCAGTATTACTTCTGGGAGCAAGCATAGTGGCAAATAAAGCTCCCCTCACCACCACCCAATCTTACTCAAGGGAGAGGGTGCAAGGATGTACAAGGGAGGTACAAGGGATACACATGTAGGGCTACACTCTACAGCAAACATGTTCTTAAGTGACCAAAAACAACTGTCACGTCGCTACAATGTCAATCCTGGCATGTACCTCGCAGAATTTGCTGGAGCGCTAAATTGTGACGACTGTTTGTGGATGCTCCCAGGCTGAGGGGATGTGAAGCCTGTGCTTTACATCAGCAGCTGTCATGTTTTCCCGGTGGTTGTAAAACATGGAGGATGATGGGGGCATCCGGTGAATCAGAGACGGAAAGGTGAGCAACAACCATCTGAGTCTGTGACGCAGCTCCACACAAACCAGCATCTGCTGCAATATACCACTATGTAGATTATGTACATCCCAATATGTTCAAATAAAGATATCCCAATCAGCCTTAATTAATGACCTTAGATGATCCTGCAGATGATCCTTACTGCAGACGGAGAGTGAGAAAGCTAGGCAGCAGTGTCTCTGAGCTAGCTGTGTTTGGTTAAATTACCTCTACCTCCCATTTATCCTCCATACGACATCCCCATGTAGTAGCAATGCACTATCAGAGTTCTTACACTTCTTATCCCAAGCAGAATCCTAGCCCCTAACCCTCCTGCATTTGTAAGATTAAATTTTTTAACTGAGCCACTTCTGGTCCCGATTATCTAACTTCTTACCAAATTTCCCAAAGTACAGTAAACATCCAGCCAGTTCAGCCAACCTCCTCTCCTTCATGTTAACAATGAGTCAGTTAATCGATTACTACAAGCTGACGGTTGGCAGTGAATGCTTCTTAAAGTTCCCTCTTCTTCTGCATGATGACATGTTAAAGGAAAACTGGGTTGTGTTCATTAAGGCAAGCATTGAAAAATGTTTTGCAACAAAAATGTGCGTTTCCAGGTAGTCCCACACTGTTTCGGTCCGTTTTGTTTTGATGGTGCCTAATGAACATGACCCTGTTGGTAAAGCCCTCTAAAGTAGTTTAGAGTGTAGTTATCCAAGTAGCCTGAACAGAACTACCCTTGTTGTTGTACTAAACAGGACTCCTGCTGTTGAACCATACATAGGCCTATGTTGTAGCGCTAGTAAAACGACTTGACCTGCCCTGTAGTTGCCATATCTAAACCACTGCCTCTGCTTTTGATCTGATTCCCTCCCTCACCTTCCACCCCCTCTGTGACAGACTGAAGCAGGGGATGTGCTTTGAAAACTACAACAGCATTAGCATCCAGACTAGAGGTATAGATAGATACATCATCACTTAGTCTAGCAGGAATGTCAGTGGAAATGTGTACTGCAAAGAGCTTTTCTCACCCCCCTGCCATGTAAAAAGAGTTCAATGGTTATTTTGACCCTTGGTTATTGTTGTTACTGTTGTCCCGTTGACATTATTGATTATTATTATTTTAATTATGTTAATATTGTACATTTACATTTACATTTACGTCATTTAGCAGACGCTCTTATCCAGAGCGACTTATCCAAAGTAAGCTTTGGCAATATGTACACTGTTACGTCATGCCAATAAAGCAAATTGAATTGAATTGAGAGAGAGGGAAAGAGAAAGCGAAAGAGCGAGAGTGAGAGCGAGAGAGAGAGAGAGAGAGAGAGAGGGAATACAAAAATAGTTCAGGTGTGCCAGAGGAGAAACACTGCGGAGAGACTCTTCCTTCTACTCCTCCGTTCAGACGATCAATGCTGTTGTAGACATTTGAAGGCAGCCATCCATCCAGCAGTTCTGTTCTCTCTCTCCTCTCAAATCTCACACTGCCTCCACCATAGTAGCAGCTGTCTGATCTAACGCTGCACTCACTAGTCTCAGCCCTCAGAGAAAGAGAGAGTGATAGAGCTGCATCGGATATCTCTACATGCCAGTCCTGACGGGCCCATATTAAACACATTCATTTTGTACCATTTCTTTTTATGTCAGAATGGAAGTACTGGTGGTTATAGACTATCTTAAGATGAATGCACTAGTTGTAAGTCACTCTGGATAAGTGTCTGCTAAATGAACTAAACTAAACTAAACTTTCCAATGTAAATGTAGGATGGGTGGAAGTTGAAAAGACAACAACACTGGTATGTTTCTTTGTGTGTTGCGTGATGAGATGGTTTTCTAGGTGATTTGGTTGAAATTACTCTTGATTTCAAGAAGTATAATTCTTCTTATCACAGAAAATTCCTGACGTTCTGAGAACCTCTCTGAATCCAGAGCACCGCGCACTCAGGACTCCTGGCATTATAACCTTGACCTATGACCCATCCTAACCCCTGACCTCTGACCATCCACAGCCTCTAATCACGTCTCATCCATTTTACACCTCTGACAATAGATAAGACTTAGCATATCAAACACTCCATTCCATATGAGGACACATTTAGAAAAAAAGTAATGTTGTATTGGGAAAAAAAACATTGTTGTCTGACATTTTCAATGACAAATGGTTCCAGGGAGTAGAAAACTAGCATGCTATGTTGGAGCCTTTCATCATTTACAAGGGAAAGTTAACATAAATAATCAACACAACAAAATCCACGAAAACCAGGAGGGAACTACAATATAGTTTTTCTTGTCTTCTCTTTCTTTGCCTTGCAGGGGGGATGTGAGCATTAGTAAAGCGTTTGTCGTTTCAGAAAATCCGTACTTCCCACAAAACTGTTAGTATAAGCGCCCCAAAAATAGAAATGTACTTCTAAAGAGGAGAGAGATAACCTAAGGGTTCCTTGCCAAAAGTAGATTTGTCCTTTTATCTTCCAGTCCCATTTTTCTTTGGCAAATGAATGGTGGAGTGGACAGAGCAGAGGAGGAGGGTGACACAGCTGCAGATTGTACAGGGTTTCTGGGAAGAATGGGGAGGGGGAGGCTTAGTGATGCATGGGGTATGGTGGGGATAGGGGAGTCATCCAGAGTCTTTCCCATCAGGCAGTGTATGGGGCTCCTTTCCCTGTGTGCCGTCTGTCAACCGCTAAGCGTCGTACTTCTTCCCCGTTCTATGGATTTGTTGGAACAGTGTCATGGAGAACGCCATGCCGAGGAGCTGCAGAGGAGAGGGAGAACACAGTTTTATTAATGTTATTGACACAGTGAATGGTACAGTGCAGCCAGCTCTGAGTGATGTGTGTACAGATGTAGGATCTTAATTTAAGCCAGTTTGCTACAGCAGGAAAATAATTCTGCAGCAACAGGAAATGTGAATTATTATGTGGATTATAATTAATGGACATTTTTGTCAGACCTGAAGTATCTTGTATAAAACATATATTGTCTGTGTATTTAAGTATTTTCAAATACACAGTCAAAAACATTTGAGTATTTGAATGGTTATTTGTAAAACAAAAACAAAAACAATTATTTAAACTACTATTTTCAAATACCTGGGTAAATGCATGCGAGTGTATTTGAGTCAGTATACCAAGTATATTTCCAAATACATTAAAATGCTTACTTCGAATGTATGTGATATTTGAAATAGTATTTGAACCCGTGTCAGATTTCTGTAGGGGTTGATACATTTTTCGTAAGGTAAAATCAAGCCTGAAATTTCAAAGTGGAAATTACAAACTTCAGAAACCTTTTTAAACCTCAAATACACTACAAGTTGCAGAAAGTTATCCGGTGATCAAATTAAGATCCTACATCTGTACTCTAATACACTAGTGTTGCGTTACATTTGTTGTTAGTGCTTCTGGGCATGTGTGGAGTTTGAGAGTTTGAAAACAACCCACAACCCAGGCTGAGAGTTTTACTACCTCCTCTCTCTCTCAGGCAGTCTTGAAACATCAAACACAACAAGCTTCCTCTGTATCTCACTGATGGAATAACGTGAGATAAGTGAGCGCATTATGTCAATGAGGAAAATTATGATGCACCGGGAAAAAAGTGTCTTCTCTTTGAAGTTTTCCATTAAGAAATAACCTGTGATACGCAGGACTACTTTCACATCAAACAAAGTCGGAAGACTGATCCTAAATTCATTATCTGAAGCAGTATGGACGGGAGTGAGTGGTACTCTTTACTACAGAACAGACCTGGGTTCAAATACTATTTAAAAACTTTCAGCATTTATTTTAGCCTGCCCGGAGTGCCATATGGGTGGGGTTTACAGTTTTGAGACTGAAACCAGGTCTGTTACAGAAGCAGACTGCACTTAATGCAGCCAGAAGTTAGCTAGCTGGCTACATTAGGCAACCTACTACTGTGATTAGCATTAGCCTTTGTAAAGCTGCTGCTGACTTTCCCTTCAGTTCCAGTCAAACCTGGGTCCGTAGGGATGGTTAGGGATACCTTCTTAAGCTCCTGCCAGTCTCACCTAATATCTAACACAGTGTGGTGAAAACAACAAACACTGTGTGATCACATTTATTATACCAGGCTCCGGAGCAAGGCCAAGCACACATTACAGATCACACCCCAACCCATACACTGTCACACACAGACCCACACCCTTGTTGTGTGTATGCACTGACATGTACTGTATGTGTATAGATGCACTTACACACTACATATTCATGTTTTTAAATGTATGTAAATTGTAAAGTATTTTGTCTGTAATGTCTTTCGTTATGTGTCAGACCCCAGTAAGACTAGCTGTCGCCATTGGCGTCAGCTAATGGGGATCCTAATAAAGAAAATAAATATATATAATTTTAAAAAATCACCCAGTCTGTCTGCATTAGGGATGCACCTTTAGGGCTTTGAACTAAACTCATGCAGACTCTCCCCAGCTTTCTCCAGCTTACTGTACAGAGCAAAGTGTCTTCTATCTATGGTTCTAGGTAGATGTAGTACAAGTATTTATATTATACTATATATATATATAGTAGAAGTATTTCCTCCCATATTTTGTTATTGAACTGATTGGACAGTAGAGACAGGACAGAAAACATAGGAGGGGTTTGAGTCAAAGGGCAGTGGGCCGGATTCTAACCCACGCCGGCTCTGGAATACACGTGTGCCGGCACTAAGCGCTGGACCACACAGGCCACAGATGTACTGTACAGTCTCACTAATGGGCTGGGGGATGTTATCTAGGTGGTGGGGTCAGGTCAAAGGTCAAAGCCCTGCAGAGGAAAGGGGAAGGATGTATTGTCCTTCTGCTGCTGCAGGCTCAGCCTACTACAGTGGCTTGCGAAAGTATTCACCCCCCTTGGCATTTTTCCTATTTTGTTGCCTTACAACCTGGAATTAAAATGGATTTTTGGGGGGGTTGTATCATTTCAGTTACACAACATGCCTACCACTTTGAAGATGCAAAAAAACTGAAAACTTGAGCGTGCATAACTATTCCCTGCCGATGAAAAACATCCCCACAGCATGATGCTGCCACCACCATGCTTCACTGTGGGGATGGTGTTCTCGGGGTGATGAGAGGTGTTGAGAGGTAGCTCAGTTGGTAGAGCATGGCACTTGCAACACCAGGGCTGTGGGTTCATTTCCCACGGGGGGGCAGTATGAAAATGTATGCACACACTAACTGTAAGTCGCTCTGGATAAGAGCGTCTGCTAAACGATTAAAATGTAAATGTGTTGGGTTTGCGCCAGACATAGCGTTTTCCTTTATGGCCAAAAAGCTCAATTTTAGTATCATCTGACCAGAGTACCTTCTTCCATATGTTTGGGGAGTCTTCCACATGCCTTTTGGCAAACACCAAACGTGTTTGCTTATTTTTTTCTTTAAGCAATTGCTTTTTTTCTGGCCACTCTTCCGTAAAGCCCAGCTCTATGGAGTGTACGGCTTAAAAGTGGTCCTATGGACAGATACTCCAATCTCCGCTGTGGAGCTTTGCAGCTCCTTCAGGGTTATCTTTGGTGTCTTTGTTGCCTCTCTGATTAATTCCCTCCTTGCCTGGTCCGTGTATTTTGGTGGGCGGTCCTCTCTTGGCAGGTTTGTTGTGGTGCCATATTCTTTCAATTTTTTAAATAATTTTGGATTTAATGGTGCTCCGTGGGATGTTCAAAGTTTCTGATATCTTTTTATAACCCAACCCTGATCTGTACTTCTCCACAACTTTGTCCCTGACCTGTTTGGAGAGCTCCTTGGTCTTCATGGTGCCGCTTGCTTGGTGGTGCCCCTTGCTTAGTGGTGTTGCAGACTCTGGGGCCTTTCAGAACAGGTGTATATATACTGAGGTCATGTGACAGATCATGTGACACTTAGATTGCACACAGGTGGACTTTACTTAACTAATAATGTGACTTCTGAAGGTAATTGGTTGCGCCAGATCTTATTTAGGGGCTTCATAGCAAAGGGAGTGAATACATATGCACCACTTTTCCGTTATTCATTTTTTTGATTTTTTTTTAACAAGTTCTTTTTTTTCATTTCACTTCACCAATTTGGATTATTTTGTGTATGTCCATTACATGAAATCCAAATAAAAATCCATTTAAATTACAGGTTGTAATGCAACAAAATAGGAAAAACGCAAAGGGGGATGAAAACTTTTGCAAGGCACTATATATACTGTACGCATTAGAGGAGATCCACATCCCCATTGTCTCTCTCCTTTTCCCTCTCCTTCTCTCTCATTCTCCCTCTCCTTCTCTCTCCTATCTTCCCTCTCCTTCTCCCTCTCCTTCGCTCCTCTCTCTCCTTCCTCTCCTTCTCTTCCGCTCCCTCCCCCTCTCTCCTTCTCCCTCTCCTTCTCTCTTTTCTCTCTCCTTCTCTCTCTCCTTCCCTCTTTCCCTCTCTCCTTCCTCCCCTCTCTCCTCTTCCTCTCCCCCTCCTCTCTCCCTTCTCTCTCATTCTCCTCTCCCTTCTTCTCCTCTATCTCTCCCTCTCTCTCCCCCTCCTTCTCCCCTCCTTCTTCTCTCCTTCTCCTCTTCCTCTCTCTCCTCTCCCTCTTCCCCTTCTCTCTCTTCTCTTCTCCCTCTCCTTCTCCCTTTCCTTCTCTCTCCTTCTCCCTCTCCTTCTCTCTCATTCTCCATCTCCTTCTCTCTCATTCTCCAACTCCTTCTCTCTCCTGCTCTATTTATCTCCCTCCCTCCCAAACACCCTATGCAAATATTAGGTGTGTTTGGAATTTGTGTGTGTGTGCAGACAGAGTGCAGACCATCCCTGTGGTACAGTCTAAAATCATGGTGACAACACTACTCTACATTGAAGAGATTGGGCTCTGCTGGCTCTGCTGCTTCTGAGACAGAGAGGGTAGGAAATAGCAGAGAGACAGAATGCTGGAGTTAAACAGGTAGGGAAGACAGGAAGGGTAGACCAGGAAACAGACAGGTAGGGCACACTGAGAATCAGACAATAACAGAAGATAGTCAGACAAAAAGGAAAGTGTGTCAGACTTCGGAGTCAGGTACTTTAGGTTAGTTAGAGAGACAGATAGGTACTTTAGGTTAGTCAGAGAGACAGACAGGTACTTTGGGTTAGTCAGAGAGACAGACAGGTACTTTAGGTTAGTCAGAGAGCAGACCACAAGGACAGAAAGACAGACAGGTACTTTATGGTAGACAGAGACAGACAGGTACTTAAGATTAGTCAGAGAGACAGACAGGTACTTTATGTTAGCCAGAGAGACAGACAGGTACTTTAGGTTAGTCAGAGAGACAGACAGGTACTTTAGGTTAGTCAGAGAGACAGACAGAAACTTTAGGTTAGTCAGAGAGTAAGACTAGAAGGACAGACAGGAGGAACATAGAGATGCAGCAGCAGGCTGAGATCTCTTCATCAGGTCTCATATCACTTCCTGGTGTCTGGCTCTGGCTCCAGCTCCAGCGTTCCCAGCATTTGATTCCCTCAGACAGGACCAGGGTGCACCAGACACAATCTTCAATATTTCAGTATGGCAGAATGTGTGGGTGCTACTACGCCCACTGAGCATGGACCTTATTACTGGCCTGTCTCTCACAGGGAGAGGGAGAGGGGAGTAACACACACACCCTGGACGCACGCACACACCCACACACACACAGGCTCCATGGAGTGATTGCTGCTTACCTGCACTACCAAGATGCACATGCCAATGGTTCCCATGAGATGCTTATTGTCATCGAGCCACTCCTCCACCTTCTCATAGCAGCCCTAGGGGACAGAGGGACAACAATAGAAGTGTGAACAGAGACTAGCACTTGACAGAGAGAGAGAGATAGAAAGGGGGAAGGATGCGGGTGATGGAGAAGATATAGAGGAATAGTTAGTGACTTGATAGAGATGAATAATGGTCTGTTGAAAATGGCAATTGAAAAGCACTTTAACACGATCAATTCTGAATGTGGGAAGACATTAAATCTTTCAAACAAACAAGAGTACTGGGAAAAGAACACAGATGCAGTTAAATCACTGTAGCTATCATCTCTGGTTCATTCATACTGTTAGATGTTATCGCAAGTTCATTCGCAGGTCACTACTACTATCTCCATCTGGCTGGGGGAGTTTGTTATAGTTTCAGCTGTTACAATGTGTCCTGTCTATGCTGAAACATGCATGACTTTATCTGGCCACCCCCGCTGGGCAGGATTACATGGTAGATATTAGAACTACACATCCCATAGGGCTGGCAGTCTGTCTTCTCTATTCTAATTTGGTCTATTTAATTTGGATTGTAACGAATACATCTTCTACACTTGAGTGGTGAACAAACCACAACAATAAGATTTTAAATGTACTATCTGGGGATATGGAGGGAACAAGAAGTCCCTGACTTTGTATTGTAAAAGCAAAAGTTTACATGGTGACCAAAAATGCAAGCCACTTAAAATCTTAATGATATTCAAAACAACATCATCCTTATCTCAACACACTTGCAAAGTAACTACTGTATAGTAATATAATAATCTATTATTGCACCTTTTTTTCTGAGCAGAAAAGTGCTCTTTGTTTTCCCAGGCTTGTCACACTGACATTGGATTGTTGCATATGACCTACAGATGTACATTTACATTTTAGTCATTTAGCAGACACTCTTATCCAGAGTGACTTACAAGAGCAATTAGGGTTAAGTGCCCTGCTCAAGGGCAGATTTTTCACCTGGTCGGCTCGGGGATTAGAACCAGCGACCTTTCGGTTACTGGCACAACGCTCTTAACCACTAAGATACCTGCCGCCCCGTAGGATCTTAATTTGAGCCAGTTTGCTACAGCAGGGAAATAATCCTGCAGCAACAAGACATGAATAATTTTCTGGATTACAATTAATGGACAAGGGAAAATCAAGTCTGAAATTTCAAAGTGAAAATTACAAACTTAAGAAGCCTTTTAAAACAAGTATTACATCTTGTGACGGTGACTGCCCATTGCCCGCAGTGCCCACCCAGCGCCCAGTGTGCCCACTCACCCGTGTCCAAAACATGTTGGTGGAGTTGCGTCCACATTCTTGGTAGTGCTCCTGGCAGCAGCGGTCAGGCACCATTTTCTCCTTGAGGGCCTCGTGCCAATCTGTGTACCCTACCACCCCACAGCACTTCCACTGCAAGACACACACACACACACACACACAGGGAGGAGAGGGAAAAGGAGTCGTTAGTGCTACCTGTCTGTGAGTCCAGAGTCCTCAAACCAACTCTGATAAATACCTCAGTAAGTAGTCTACTGTAAAGATTTACACTCCCTGTACGATGCTGTCCCTATGTACAGTTGAAGTCGGAAGTTTACATACACCTTCGACAAATACATTTAAACTCAGTTTTTCACAATTCCTGACATTTCATCCTAGTACAAATTCCCTGTCTTAGCTCAGTATGGCCACTCCAATACCTTGACTTTGTTGTCCTTAAGCCATTTTGCCACAACTTTGGAAGTATGCTTGGGGTCATTGACCAAGCTTTAACTTCCTGACTGATGTCTTGAGTTGTTGCTTCAATATATCCACATAATTTTCCTTCCTCATGATGCCATCTATTTTGTGAAGTGCACCAGTCCCTCCTGCAGCAAAGCACCCCCACAGCATGATGCTGCCACCCCCGTGCTTCACGGTTGGGATGGTGTTCCTCGGCTTGCAAGCCGCCCCTTTTTCCTCCAAACATAACGATGGTCATTATGGCCAAACAGTTCTATTTTTGTTTAATCAGACCAGAGGACATTTCCCCATGTGCAGTTGCAAACCGTAGTTTGGCTTTTTTATGGCGGTTTTGGAGCAGTGGCTTCTTCCTTGCTGAGCGGCCTTTCAGGTTGTGTCGATATAGGACTCGTTTTACTGTGGATATACAGTGAGGGAAAAAAGTACAAAGAAATTATCAGTATATAATTTTAATGGTAGGTTTATTTGAACAGTGAGAGACAGAATAACAACAAAAAGATCCAGAAAAAAACGCATGTCAAAAATGTTATAAATTGATTTGCATTTTAATGAGGGAAATAAGTATTTGACCCCCTCTCAATCAGAAAGATGTCTGGGTCCCAGGTGTCTTTTATACAGGTAACGAGCTGAGATTAGGAGCACACTCTTAAAGGGAGTGCTCCTAATCTCAGTTTGTTACCTGTATAAAAGACACCTGTCCACAGAAGCAATCAATCAATCAGATTCCAAACTCTCCACCATGGCCAAGACCAAAGAGCTCTCCAAGGATGTCAGGAACAAGATTGTAGACCTACACAAGGCTGGAATGGGCTACAAGACCATCGCCAAGCAGCTTGGTGAGAAGGTGACAACAGTTGGTGTGATTATTCGTAAATGGAAGAAACACAAAATAACTGTCAATCTCCCTCGGCCTGGGGCTCCATGCAAGATCTCACCTCGTGGAGTTGCAATGATCATGAGAACGGTGAGGAATCAGCCCAGAACTACACGGGAGGATCTTGTCAATGATCTCAAGGCAGCTGGGACCATAGTCACCAAGAAACAATTGGTAACACACGACGCCGTGAAGGACTGAAATCCTGCAGCGCCCGCAAGGTCCCCCTGCTCAAGAAAGCACATATACAGGCCCGTCTGAAGTTTGCCAATGAACATCTGAATGATTCAGAGGAGAACTGGGTGAAAGCGTTGTGGTCAGATGAGGCCAAAATCGAGCTCTTTGGCATCAACTCAACTCGCCGTGTTGAGACCCCAAGAACACCATCCCCACCGTCAAACATGGAGGTGGAAACATTATGCTTTGGGGTGTTGTGACTTGGTGTATAGAGAGAATATGAGAGGGCCTAGAACTGAGCCCTGGGTGTCCCCCAGGGCTCAGTTCTAGGCCCTCTCCTATTCTCTCTATACACCAAGTCACTTGGCTCTGTCATATCCTCACATGGTCTCTCCTATCATTGCTACGCAGACGACACACAATTAATCTTCTCCTTTCCCCCTTCTGATAACCAGGTGGCGAATCGCATCTCTGCATGTCTGGCAGACATATCAGTGTGGATGACGGATCACCACCTCAAGCTGAACCTCGGCAAGACGGAGCTGGAGGACTGCCTGCTCCATGATCTCGCCATCACGGTTGTGTCCTCCTCCCAGAGGGCAAAGAACCTTGGCGTGACCCTGGACAACACCCTGTCGTTCTCCGCTAACATCAAAGCGGTGACCCGATCCTGTAGGTTCATGCTCTACAACATTCGCAGAGTACGACCCTACCTTACACAGGAAGCGGCACAGGTCCTAATCCAGGCACTTGTCATCTCCTGTCTGGATTACTGCAACTCGCTGTTGGCTGGGCTCCCTGCCTGTGCCATTAAACCCCTACAACTCATCCAGAACGCTGCAGCCCGTCTGGTGTTCAACCTTCCCAAGTTCTCTCACGTCACCCCGCTCCTCCGCACACTCCACTGGCTTCCAGTTGAAGCCTGCATCTGCTACAAGACCATGGTGCTTGCCTACGGAGCTGTGAGGGGAACGGTGTCCCACTGGCTAACATAAGGTGAATGCACCAATTTGTAAGTCGCTCTGGATAAGAGCGTCTGCTAAATGACGAAAATGTGTTTTTCTGCTAAGGGGACAGGACAACTTCACCGCATCAAAGGGACGATGGACGGGGCCATGTACCGTCAAATCTTGGGTGAGAACCTCCTTCCCTCAGCCAGGGCATTGAAAATGGTGACAACAGTTGGTGTGATTATTCGTAAATGGAAGAAACACAAAATAACTGTCAATCTCCCTCGGCCTGGGGCTCCATGCAAGATCTCACCTCGTGGAGTTGCAATGATCATGAGAACGGTGAGGAATCAGCCCAGAACTACACGGGAGGATCTTGTCAATGATCTCAAGGCAGCTGGGACCATAGTCACCAAGAAACAATTGGTAACACACGACGCCGTGAAGGACTGAAATCCTGCAGCGCCCGCAAGGTCCCCCTGCTCAAGAAAGCACATATACAGGCTCGTCTGAAGTTTGCCAATGAACATCTGAATGATTCAGAGGAGAACTGGGTGAAAGCGTTGTGGTCAGATGAGGCCAAAATCGAGCTCTTTGGCATCAACTCAACTCGCCGTGTTGAGACCCCAAGAACACCATCCCCACCGTCAAACATGGAGGTGGAAACATTATGCTTTGGGGTGTTGTGACTTGGTGTATAGAGAGAATATGAGAGGGCCTAGAACTGAGCCCTGGGTGTCCCCCAGGGCTCAGTTCTAGGCCCTCTCCTATTCTCTCTATACACCAAGTCACTTGGCTCTGTCATATCCTCACATGGTCTCTCCTATCATTGCTACGCAGACGACACACAATTAATCTTCTCCTTTCCCCCTTCTGATAACCAGGTGGCGAATCGCATCTCTGCATGTCTGGCAGACATATCAGTGTGGATGACGGATCACCACCTCAAGCTGAACCTCGGCAAGACGGAGCTGGAGGACTGCCTGCTCCATGATCTCGCCATCACGGTTGTGTCCTCCTCCCAGAGTGCAAAGAACCTTGGCGTGACCCTGGACAACACCCTGTCGTTCTCCGCTAACATCAAAGCGGTGACCCGATCCTGTAGGTTCATGCTCTACAACATTCGCAGAGTACGACCCTACCTTACACAGGAAGCGGCACAGGTCCTAATCCAGGCACTTGTCATCTCCTGTCTGGATTACTGCAACTCGCTGTTGGCTGGGCTCCCTGCCTGTGCCATTAAACCCCTACAACTCATCCAGAACGCTGCAGCCCGTCTGGTGTTCAACCTTCCCAAGTTCTCTCACGTCACCCCGCTCCTCCGCACACTCCACTGGCTTCCAGTTGAAGCCTGCATCTGCTACAAGACCATGGTGCTTGCCTACGGAGCTGTGAGGGGAACGGTGTCCCACTGGCTAACATAAGGTGAATGCACCAATTTGTAAGTCGCTCTGGATAAGAGCGTCTGCTAAATGACGAAAATGTGTTTTTCTGCTAAGGGGACAGGACAACTTCACCGCATCAAAGGGACGATGGACGGGGCCATGTACCGTCAAATCTTGGGTGAGAACCTCCTTCCCTCAGCCAGGGCATTGAAAATGGTGACAACAGTTGGTGTGATTATTCGTAAATGGAAGAAACACAAAATAACTGTCAATCTCCCTCGGCCTGGGGCTCCATGCAAGATCTCACCTCGTGGAGTTGCAATGATCATGAGAACGGTGAGGAATCAGCCCAGAACTACACGGGAGGATCTTGTCAATGATCTCAAGGCAGCTGGGACCATAGTCACCAAGAAACAATTGGTAACACACGACGCCGTGAAGGACTGAAATCCTGCAGCGCCCGCAAGGTCCCCCTGCTCAAGAAAGCACATATACAGGCCCGTCTGAAGTTTGCCAATGAACATCTGAATGATTCAGAGGAGAACTGGGTGAAAGCGTTGTGGTCAGATGAGGCCAAAATCGAGCTCTTTGGCATCAACTCAACTCGCCGTGTTGAGACCCCAAGAACACCATCCCCACCGTCAAACATGGAGGTGGAAACATTATGCTTTGGGGTGTTGTGACTTGGTGTATAGAGAGAATATGAGAGGGCCTAGAACTGAGCCCTGGGTGTCCCCCAGGGCTCAGTTCTAGGCCCTCTCCTATTCTCTCTATACACCAAGTCACTTGGCTCTGTCATATCCTCACATGGTCTCTCCTATCATTGCTACGCAGACGACACACAATTAATCTTCTCCTTTCCCCCTTCTGATAACCAGGTGGCGAATCGCATCTCTGCATGTCTGGCAGACATATCAGTGTGGATGACGGATCACCACCTCAAGCTGAACCTCGGCAAGACGGAGCTGGAGGACTGCCTGCTCCATGATCTCGCCATCACGGTTGTGTCCTCCTCCCAGAGGGCAAAGAACCTTGGCGTGACCCTGGACAACACCCTGTCGTTCTCCGCTAACATCAAAGCGGTGACCCGATCCTGTAGGTTCATGCTCTACAACATTCGCAGAGTACGACCCTACCTTACACAGGAAGCGGCACAGGTCCTAATCCAGGCACTTGTCATCTCCTGTCTGGATTACTGCAACTCGCTGTTGGCTGGGCTCCCTGCCTGTGCCATTAAACCCCTACAACTCATCCAGAACGCTGCAGCCCGTCTGGTGTTCAACCTTCCCAAGTTCTCTCACGTCACCCCGCTCCTCCGCACACTCCACTGGCTTCCAGTTGAAGCCTGCATCTGCTACAAGACCATGGTGCTTGCCTACGGAGCTGTGAGGGGAACGGTGTCCCACTGGCTAACATAAGGTGAATGCACCAATTTGTAAGTCGCTCTGGATAAGAGCGTCTGCTAAATGACGAAAATGTGTTTTTCTGCTAAGGGGACAGGACAACTTCACCGCATCAAAGGGACGATGGACGGGGCCATGTACCGTCAAATCTTGGGTGAGAACCTCCTTCCCTCAGCCAGGGCATTGGAAATGGTGACAACAGTTGGTGTGATTATTCGTAAATGGAAGAAACACAAAATAACTGTCAATCTCCCTCGGCCTGGGGCTCCATGCAAGATCTCACCTCGTGGAGTTGCAATGATCATGAGAACGGTGAGGAATCAGCCCAGAACTACACGGGAGGATCTTGTCAATGATCTCAAGGCAGCTGGGACCATAGTCACCAAGAAACAATTGGTAACACACGACGCCGTGAAGGACTGAAATCCTGCAGCGCCCGCAAGGTCCCCCTGCTCAAGAAAGCACATATACAGGCCCGTCTGAAGTTTGCCAATGAACATCTGAATGATTCAGAGGAGAACTGGGTGAAAGCGTTGTGGTCAGATGAGGCCAAAATCGAGCTCTTTGGCATCAACTCAACTCGCCGTGTTGAGACCCCAAGAACACCATCCCCACCGTCAAACATGGAGGTGGAAACATTATGCTTTGGGGTGTTGTGACTTGGTGTATAGAGTGAATATGAGAGGGCCTAGAACTGAGCCCTGGGTGTCCCCCAGGGCTCAGTTCTAGGCCCTCTCCTATTCTCTCTATACACCAAGTCACTTGGCTCTGTCATATCCTCACATGGTCTCTCCTATCATTGCTACGCAGACGACACACAATTAATCTTCTCCTTTCCCCCTTCTGATAACCAGGTGGCGAATCGCATCTCTGCATGTCTGGCAGACATATCAGTGTGGATGACGGATCACCACCTCAAGCTGAACCTCGGCAAGACGGAGCTGGAGGACTGCCTGCTCCATGATCTCGCCATCACGGTTGTGTCCTCCTCCCAGAGTGCAAAGAACCTTGGCGTGACCCTGGACAACACCCTGTCGTTCTCCGCTAACATCAAAGCGGTGACCCGATCCTGTAGGTTCATGCTCTACAACATTCGCAGAGTACGACCCTACCTTACACAGGAAGCGGCACAGGTCCTAATCCAGGCACTTGTCATCTCCTGTCTGGATTACTGCAACTCGCTGTTGGCTGGGCTCCCTGCCTGTGCCATTAAACCCCTACAACTCATCCAGAACGCTGCAGCCCGTCTGGTGTTCAACCTTCCCAAGTTCTCTCACGTCACCCCGCTCCTCCGCACACTCCACTGGCTTCCAGTTGAAGCCTGCATCTGCTACAAGACCATGGTGCTTGCCTACGGAGCTGTGAGGGGAACGGTGTCCCACTGGCTAACATAAGGTGAATGCACCAATTTGTAAGTCGCTCTGGATAAGAGCGTCTGCTAAATGACGAAAATGTGTTTTTCTGCTAAGGGGACAGGACAACTTCACCGCATCAAAGGGACGATGGACGGGGCCATGTACCGTCAAATCTTGGGTGAGAACCTCCTTCCCTCAGCCAGGGCATTGGAAATGGTGACAACAGTTGGTGTGATTATTCGTAAATGGAAGAAACACAAAATAACTGTCAATCTCCCTCGGCCTGGGGCTCCATGCAAGATCTCACCTCGTGGAGTTGCAATGATCATGAGAACGGTGAGGAATCAGCCCAGAACTACACGGGAGGATCTTGTCAATGATCTCAAGGCAGCTGGGACCATAGTCACCAAGAAACAATTGGTAACACACGACGCCGTGAAGGACTGAAATCCTGCAGCGCCCGCAAGGTCCCCCTGCTCAAGAAAGCACATATACAGGCCCGTCTGAAGTTTGCCAATGAACATCTGAATGATTCAGAGGAGAACTGGGTGAAAGCGTTGTGGTCAGATGAGGCCAAAATCGAGCTCTTTGGCATCAACTCAACTCGCCGTGTTGAGACCCCAAGAACACCATCCCCACCGTCAAACATGGAGGTGGAAACATTATGCTTTGGGGTGTTGTGACTTGGTGTATAGAGAGAATATGAGAGGGCCTAGAACTGAGCCCTGGGTGTCCCCCAGGGCTCAGTTCTAGGCCCTCTCCTATTCTCTCTATACACCAAGTCACTTGGCTCTGTCATATCCTCACATGGTCTCTCCTATCATTGCTACGCAGACGACACACAATTAATCTTCTCCTTTCCCCCTTCTGATAACCAGGTGGCGAATCGCATCTCTGCATGTCTGGCAGACATATCAGTGTGGATGACGGATCACCACCTCAAGCTGAACCTCGGCAAGACGGAGCTGGAGGACTGCCTGCTCCATGATCTCGCCATCACGGTTGTGTCCTCCTCCCAGAGTGCAAAGAACCTTGGCGTGACCCTGGACAACACCCTGTCGTTCTCCGCTAACATCAAAGCGGTGACCCGATCCTGTAGGTTCATGCTCTACAACATTCGCAGAGTACGACCCTACCTTACACAGGAAGCGGCACAGGTCCTAATCCAGGCACTTGTCATCTCCTGTCTGGATTACTGCAACTCGCTGTTGGCTGGGCTCCCTGCCTGTGCCATTAAACCCCTACAACTCATCCAGAACGCTGCAGCCCGTCTGGTGTTCAACCTTCCCAAGTTCTCTCACGTCACCCCGCTCCTCCGCACACTCCACTGGCTTCCAGTTGAAGCCTGCATCTGCTACAAGACCATGGTGCTTGCCTACGGAGCTGTGAGGGGAACGGTGTCCCACTGGCTAACATAAGGTGAATGCACCAATTTGTAAGTCGCTCTGGATAAGAGCGTCTGCTAAATGACGAAAATGTGTTTTTCTGCTAAGGGGACAGGACAACTTCACCGCATCAAAGGGACGATGGACGGGGCCATGTACCGTCAAATCTTGGGTGAGAACCTCCTTCCCTCAGCCAGGGCATTGAAAATGGGTCATGGATGGGTATTCCAGCATGACAATGACCCAAAACACACGGCCAAGGCAACAAAGGAGTGGCTCAAGAAGAAGCACATTAAGATCCTGGAGTGGCCTAGCCAGTCTCCAGACCTTAATCCCATAGAAAATCTGTGGAGGGAGCTGAAGGTTCGAGTTGCCAAACATCAGGCTCGAAACCTTAATGGAGATCTGCAAAGAGGGGACAAAATCCCTCCTGAGATGTGTGCAAACCTGGTGGCCAACTACAAGAAACGTCTGACCTCTGTGTGTCTCCCGAGTGGCGCAGTGGTCTAAGGCACTGCATCGCAGTGCTAGCTGTGCCACTAGAGATCCTGGTTCGTATCCAGGCTCTGTCGTAGCCGGCCACGACCGGGAGACCCATCGGGTGGCGCACAATTTGCCCAGCGTCGTCCAGGGTAGGGGAGGGAATGGCCGGCAGGGATGTAGCTCAGTTGGTAGAGCATGGCGTTTGCAACGCCAGGGTTGTGGGTTCGATTCCCACGGGGGGCCAGTATAAAAAAAATGCTCTGGATAAGAGCGTCTGCTAAATGACTTAAATGTAAAATGTGATTGCCAACAAGGGTTTTGCCACCAAGTACTAAGTCATGTTTTTCAGAGGGGTCAAATACTTATTTCCCTCATTAAAATGCTAATCAATTTATAACATTTTTGACATGCGTTTTTCTGGATTTTTGTTGTTGTTATTCTGTCTCTCACTGGTCAAATAAACCTACCATTAAAATTATAGACTGATCATGTCTTTGTCAGTGGGCAAACGTACAAAATCAGCAGGGGATCAAATACTTTTTTCCCTCACTGTAGATACTTTTGTACCTGTTTCCTCCAACATCTTCACAAGGTCCTTTGCTGTTGTTCTGGGATTGATTTGACAGAACGCGTCTCCTTCCTGAGCGATATGACGGCTGCGTCGTCCCATGGTTTTTATACTTGCGTACTATTGTTTGTACAGATGAACGTGGTACCTTCAGGCGTTTGGAAATTGCTCCCAAGGATGAACCAGACTTGTGGAGGTCTACAATTTTTTTTGATTTTCCCATGATGTCAAGCAAAGAGGCACTGAGTTTGAAGGTAGGCCTTGAAATACATCCACAGGTACACCTCCTCTAATTGACTCAAATGATGTCAATTAGCCTATCAGAAGATTCTAAAGCCATGACATCATTTTCTGGAATTTTCCAAGCTGTTTAATGGCACAGTCAACTTAGTGTATGTAAACTTCTGACCCACTGGAATTGTGATACAGTGAATTATAAGTGAAATAATCTGTCTGTAAACAATTGTTGGAAAAATTACTTGTGTCATGCACAAAGGAGATGTCCTAACCGACTTGCCAAAACTATAATTTGTGGAGTGGTTGAAAAACAAGTTTGAATGACTCCAACCTAAGCGTATGTAAACTTCCGACTTCAACTGTAGATTCAAGAAGCCCATAGCATATTTGAAGAAACAGTATGGACTTTCCATACCGGATGTTCCGTTAATAATACATTTTTAAACATCCATGGTAAATCCCGCAAAAATTGTTTCAGACGAAGGCTTCACTATACAATAAATACATTTATGCACTATCCTGAGGTGAACTTGAGTCCACATGAAAGTCATGATGATCCCAGAGTGTGTTCACATACTACAAACCTCTGCTTGGATTATGTTCCATGCGTTCCTAAGGCCTACGTTGTTGTCTGTGTTGTACAGAGACAAGCCATCCTTCAGGTCCTGCTTGGCATTCTCACTGACCTGAGGACAGAGCACAGACAACACATAAACCTTGGTTACAACAATACTTGCTTGGCATTCTCGCTGACCTGAGGACAGATAAAACAAACCTGGGTTAGATAGATGGCTTCAGGTGAGCTAGAAATCCAGGAGAAACATTGGATTATACCGTATATCTATTTGAATTTGATTGACATCACTCGAATCCCTCCACTGGGCTTACATTTAAATATGCCTTTTGGCATAGCTATAGCATTGGCCTCTCGACTGGATCTTAACAATACGACTGGTGGAGATACATATTTCATCACACGTGTTAATGAGACCAATGCATACAATCAATGCATACAATGCACTAACTGTCAGTCGCTCTGTGCCATTCACTTCAATGGGGGGGAAATCTTGTACTTCTACAGACACAGTACTTACGTTTTAAAATGTCAATATGATACAAATTGCCTTCCCCAGCCTCTTTCCTTCCTTCTCGTGAAATAATCGGCACACACTCCTCACGCAGACACAGTGGAAATTCCTAATATAATGACTCCCATATCCGCTCACCGCCTACAGTATTCCAACGGCAGTTTCCCAGCCCTCTAGGCATACAGGGCTGCTGTGGAACAGCCGCCGATTATTTCACGAGAAGGAAGGAAAGGGGCTGGGGAAGGCAAGTAGTACAAGATTTCCCCCCCATTGAAGTGAATGGCACAGAGCGACTTACAGTTAGTGCATTCATCTTAAGATAGCTGGGTGAGACAACCACATTGTTATTAAAGACTGGCTCGTTGTATGGCAGAAAGTGAGAGGACCGGGCATCAAAGTACAATTCTGTTTGGACAGGAACTGAGCAGCTGGAGAATAACAACACTAATGATGACAATCACTTCTTGCTGAAGACATTCAAAAATAAGATTCCCCTTTGAAAGACCAGAAGACGTCCCCTACTATTCACTGTCACAGTTAGCGAGCCACAGCAAAACATTTGAACTCATTTTAATTATCTTGAGTGGTGCATACTGATTCATAATCAGTGCGAAAAAATTACAATTTTTCTACTATGTAATAAGTGTAAATAAACTATTTGCTGAATTAATCATAAAAGAGGAATTTGCTTCTTCATAGTAATTATAATTTCACAAAGATAAAAAGTATTCATTAATCATGCATAACGCACTTAAATTCTCCCAAATCTTTGAAATAAGATGACTATAATTTCGAATCATCATTTTTTCTCCCTCTCTCTGCCAAAGTGGAGCAGTGTGTGCGTAATGTACCTCGTCAGCCGGGAGGCATCATCATATCTGTCTTTGTGCAGGGAAAAGAGATGGAGAGTACTATCATCCATCTCTCCCTCTCTCAGCCCCATGTCTCTCTACTCTCTCCCTCCTCCCTACCCCTCTCCTCTCTCTTGCTCATTACTGCTCCCACAGCCACACAATCACCGGAGAGAACAGGGGACCAGTCATCATTGAGCCCAAAAGCCCCTTCTTCGAACCTGGCTTGAAATGCAACATAATGATCTAGTTTTTACCACAGTTAATGAGGCATACTAATGACTGCAAAACAAACGACGGGCTTGATCTCTCACTATTTTGACCCATTTTTCTCTCTTCACAGCAGAAATGGATACAAACACATATTTGTGTGAGTTCTGATAAAACACTTGACTCAAGTCTATACTGACGGTGAAGTTGTTCTCTGATAGCAAAACTATGCCGTTCCTAGAGAAAACTATCACTCATCACTCATGATGAGATTAACTTTCCTCAGCACCCATCAAAATGCATCAACAGAATACCTCAAGGAGACATATTGACAGAGCGTAAAATCTCTCTCATTATGGAGCACACTGTACTGGATTCCTCTGGGCTGCAGATCCACCTGCATCAGCAGAATAGAATGGGAGAGAGAGAGGCCATCCATCATGGCCAGGCCAGCCAGGGGGCTGCAGGCTGGAGCCAGGGACAAGTGGATGGGATGGACAGCGAGAGGGAGTGAGAGGGAAAGGCCATTACACTACTGTAAGTGAATAGATAAGGAGCCAGCTTCCCTCCGGTCACCGTGTCTCTCCGGTGTCGGAGGCAGACAGACACACTGTAACACATTGGTGGGTTGTGTTGTTTGGTGTCAATGTGTCCTGCCCTGGCTGCAGGGAGCTGCTGGGCCCAGCAGGGAGATGCCATTTTGGCAAAATAAACAAAGAAACAAACAGCGCTGTCAAAAAAGCCCCTATGACTTCCATTACTCTGTGTGGCACTTAGTATTTCAAAAGCAGTTGGAATCCCGTTTTGGTGCTGTTCATTTCAAACGGGCATAGCTACATATCATCATTCCCACTGCCTTCTCAAGGATAACGCACCATGAGAGATGGTGAATAAAGGTCCATTAGAAGATACTAATCTCTTTGGACAGTAGAGCCACTTTCCTGTGTTGTCAGAATGGGGCCCTGGGCCTATGATGTCTGGCCCCTGAGGACCAGTGGGAGGGAGGAACACTGCCGCCCCCTGCTTACTAATGACCTACAGACCTGGGGGATGCCTGGCTCCTCTGGCTCCTTTGTCACGGAAGACCATGGCCATGTCCGAAATCTCTCTTGCCTACTACTTACTAAAACGATATACTGTGTACTTATCATACTATTTTTCTTACTTTTTAACTCTACATTGTTGTGAAAGGGTTCATAAGTAAGCATTTCACGGTAAAGTCTACACCTGTTGTATTCGCCGCATGTGACAAATAAAATGTTCTTTGATTTGATTTGACTACATACTATTTAGAATGTACTATTTAGTAAAAATGTATGCAGTAAGCAACAAATATCAACGAACTAGACATACTGAGAATGCGTAATCTAAAGCACAATTGCGTAGTTTCCCACCATTCGTTCATTTTGGTATAGCCCGTCCTCTTAAGACGCTTCTCTTCCTCAATAGTGTGCAGCGAATTCTACCAGATGAAAAGCCTAAATGAGTATGACATCCTGGCATTTAAAGCATACAAATGTTTCTAAATATCAAATACCATAAAAATGTATATTTTCGCATACCCAAGCAGCCTACTACTTAGTCCGCAAGTACAGGTATTCGGACACGGACCATGATTTTCCTCTGTCATGGAAGACAATAGCTTTCTCTCTCTGGGGCTTGGGTCACTATGGCCAGGTGAATGCAAAGAGAATAGCTTTTTAGTATCAAAGCTTTTTTAAGTAGAATATCCCGTTTGAAAATGTAAAACATTTTTTGGAGTACATTGCCCATTGTTTTGTTCACTTTTAGAAGTGACATGTTTACACGCATGAAGTGACATGTTTACATGCTACGCTTTTCTTATTTGTGGTGCAGGGAATTACAGCCTCAGAGTTGACTACTTTGTAGAAAAGATAGCTCCAACACACACATCACCTCCGCTACCACTGTTTATTGTGTTGATGTTACAAGGTCAGATATTTATTGGAAATGAAAATGAGAATTACATGACATAGGTAGCTTACCTGGACAAATAAGGGTTACATTCAGGTAAAAAGAGGTAAGGAAACCGCTAAAGGCTGTGTGACTCACCACACATCTTACAGCTTACCTTGTGGTGCCTTAATGCTCACTGAGGGAGAACTATATTGTTGATCAAAGAGAAAGGATTTCTTAGACCTCCACACTTTCAAATCCCCACAGCCAAATCCTAGCGTAATCCCCTATACCTGTTCCTCCTGACCTGCTCCTGTTGGATATGTTCTAACCACAGATCACTGAACACTCCGCTACCTGGCCAGGGCTGCTACTGAGCACACCTGGGATCAGATACTATTCACTATCTTTCAAATACTGTTAGTGTTTGCTCTAGCCTTCCATTAATTGCCAGATGTTCAGGTTTTGCACTTATATTCTATTGGTTCCATTGAGACAGGCAAGCTCAATCAAGCTCAACTAAAGTATTCGAAATGATTTCAAATAGTATTTGAACCGAGGTCTGCTACTGAGACCCAGCCACACCACCTGGGACACTCTAGGATACAGACAGACACGCACAGGTGCCCATGCTAAGAGCTGGCACAACAACACTCAGCCAGGCTGGGTCCCAAATGGTATCAGTCACATGGTTTTGAATGGGACAGAGCGCCACACCCAGTGTCCCTTGCCAGTGCTCACGCACATACTGTACATGAGACACTTAGCCAGATTGGGTCCTACTGTATGTTTGGAACTTGTCCCAGTGCCCCACCCAGTGTCCCTCGACAGTCCTCACATACAGTAAGACACTCAGCCAGGCTGGGTCCCATCCCATGTCTGTCAAATGGTTTGGAACTGGTCCCAGAGCCCCGCCCTATCTATGCCCCTCCCTCATCAGTCCACATACACAGATCTCCAGTGACTTGAACACTAACAGCTTGTTCACTGTCCCTCTAACAGAGAGAAACAACAACAAAAACAACAGGGCAAAGCCAAGAAGCCAAAAGATCCCAACAACACAAGCTCATTAATAGAGCTACTCTAATCTCCCTCTGGTTAAGGTCAGCGCTGACTGCAGGGGGTCCTGGCTGTGGACCGACAGACAGGGCAAGAGAGTGTAATTGAGGGTGGATGGTGGATAAATAATGCATGGGAGGGGATTTATAGTACAGTACTACTGTAACTCTCCCCATTTGTTCAGCACTGTGAAATGCCAGAGGGGCTCACAACCCCATACACATTAAAATGCTGTTGTGGTCTTCTAGCAGGGGCAAGCAGGAGCAGCCAAACCTCCAACCACGTCTGAACCCCACTAAGCCCCAACCATCACCCCGTCCTCCCTGATTCTCCATCCTCCCTTTCCCCAAATCAAATCAAATGTTATTTGTCCCATGCTTCGTAAACAACAGGTGTAGACAGCGAAATGAAATACTTACTTACAGGTCATTTTCCAACAATGCAGAGTTAAAGATAAAGATACAAATAAAATAAACAATAGAAATAGTGACATGAGGAATGAATAATGCATAACAATAACGAGTAAAAATAACGTGGCTATATACAGGGAGTACCAGAACTGTCGATGTGCAGGGGTACTGGTAATTGAGGTAGCTATGTACATATAGATAGGGGTAAAGTGACGAGGCAACAGGATAGATAGTAGCAGCAGTGTATGTAGTGAGTGTGAAAGAGTGTGTGTGTGAGTGTGTGTGTGTGTGTGTGTGTGTGTGTGTGTGTGTGTGTGTGTGTGTGAGTGAGTGTGTGTGTGTGTGTGGCGTCAGTATGCATGTGTGCGCATGTTATGTGTGTGTTTGTGTGTGTGTGTGTTTGGGTGTCAGTGTAAGTATGTGTGAGTGTGTGGGTAAAGTGCAAGAGAGTTGGTGCAAAAAAGGGTCAATGCAGGTAGTCCGGGTAGCCATATGATTAGCTATTTAGCAGTCTTGTTTAACAGTCTTATGGCTTGGGGGTAGAAGTTGTTCAGGGTCCTCTTGGTTCCAGACTTTGTACACTGGTGCCGCTTGCCGTGCGTAAGCAGAGAGAACAGTCCATGGCTGGTGTGGCTGGAGTCATTAGCGTTAGCATAGAGTAGCTGACCTAGAATGAAGCCACGGCGCTGAAGACAGATGGGAGTCATTTTGTCTCTGGCCTTGCCATCTGCTGTAGTCAGATAGTGGGTCACTGCAGGGCCAGTAGTAGTATACTGGAGTAGTTTCATCAGAGATGAAGCCTGTGTTTGCTTATTTTGCACTGCAGTGGAAAGAGACGTACCTGAGTATCTGCCATACCTGGAGGCAAGACTCCCACTGCAGAGCCACCATGGGAAAAGGGGAAGATACTAGCCTGGAATTAAAAACTGATATGCTATGTTTCAATGGTGAAATGAAGCATATCAGCTAGATTCCAGGCTAGGAAGATACTCCCATACTCCAGTGAACTGACATATTCAACGATGGTCTGAGAGTAGTTAGCACCTCCCCATCATGCACTATCACAAACATCAGAGCATACTCACTCATGATTTAATAATATCACTCGTTTGAAACAGTAAAATATCAATTTTTGAGTCTCAATTGGTAGACGGCCTAAGTGTCTGCATATCGTTTAGACTTTCAGTTAATAAATGCCTTGTGATTTCCAGATCAAATAGCCTTGGTAAATTAGCCATTCTTCTGATCGCAGAGCTCGAGGATGGGGGCGAGCCTCACACGACATACCATATAGCGAGAGAGAGAGAGAGAGAAAAAAAAGAAACAAAGAAAGAAAGATATCATACTCTCCATACTCTCTCCTCATCATTCTCAGATCCAATAGCCTCATGTAATCTGAATACACAGTCTGAATAATCCTGTGCTGAACCATTCCTGATCTGAAACGGAGTTCCTGAACCAAGGAAGCAAGAAATGCCACATTCAATAACACGCAATCTGCAGTAACAGCTTCACATTTTAATGACATTTCAAGACCAATAAAGGGAGATACATTTCAGGCCATCAGCGTTATCGTCACTTCATCTAACCTTAATGTGCAAGTGGAGATACACACAGGAGACAGAGGACTCATAAACCACTGGAGCTTTTGACTGGTCATCTAATGGCGCCAGAGGAGATGGCTGCCGTTTTACGGCCCCCTAACCAATTGTGCTTAAATGTGTGTTTTTTCTTGCGTTTTGAAATGTATTCTGTACATAATGTTTCTGCCACCGACTCTTATGACCAAAAAGAGCTTCTGGATATCAGGACAGCGATTACTCACCTCATATTGGATGAAGATTTTTTCTTCAACGAGTCGGACGCAAAGGATATTCTACAGACACCCGACAAGGCCCAAATCCGCGTCATTCGCATGAGAAAGAGACTGATATATCGTGAACGTAGGTCGGGGTGCCTTGTAAGGATCCGACGGCGAGCGAGTAATCTGCCTCTTCCATCAGTCCTATTAGCCAACGTACAATCATTGGAAAACAAAATGGATGACCTACAATCACGGATATCCTACCAACGGGACATAAAAAACTGTAATATCTTATGTTTCACAGAGTCGTGGCTGAACGACGACATGGATAACATACAGGGTTGTGAGTTCGTTTCCCACGGGGGGCCAGTATGAAAATGTATGCACTCACTAACTGTAAGTCGCTCTGGAAAAGAGCGTCTGCTAAATGACTAAAATGTAAAAATAAGCTGTAGACCACACTATTTACCAAGAGAGTTTTCATCTATATTTTTTGTAGCTGTCTATTT